TTTTTCATATGTTTGTTGGCTGCATGAATGTTTTCTTTGGAAAAGTGTCTGTCATAGCCTTCACCCACTTTTTGATGGGGTTGTTTGTTTCTTTCTTGTAAATTTGTTTTAGTTCTTTGTAGATGGTGGATATTAGCCCTTTGTCAGATGTGTAGCTTGCAATCATTTTTTCTACTCTGTTGGTTGCTGGTTCACTCTAATGATTGTTTCTTTTGCGGTGCAGAAACTCTTAAATTTAATTACACCCCATTTGTCTATTTTGGCTTTTCTTGCCATTGCTTTTGGTGTTTTAGTCATGAAGTCCTTGCCTATGCTTATGTCCTGAATGGTATTGCCTAGGTTTTCTTCTAGGATTTTTTTTTATGGTGTTGGTTCTTATGTTTAAATCTTTAATCCATTTGCAGTTAATTTTTGTATAAGGTGTATGAAGGGGTCCAGTTTCAGCTGTCTGCACATGGCTGGCTAGTTTTCCCAACACCATTTATTAAACAGGGAATCCTTTCCCCATTGCTTGTTTTTGTCCAGTTTGTCAAAGAACAGATGGTTGTAGATGTGTGGCATTCTTTCTGAGGCCTCTGTTCTGTTCCATTGGTCTATATCTTTGTTTTGGTACCAGTACCATGCTGTTTTGATTACTGTAGCCTTGTAGTATAGTTTGAAATCAGGTAGCATGATGCCTCCCACTTTGTTCTTTTTGCTTAGGATTGTCTTGGCTATGTGGACTCTTTTTTGGTTCCATATAAAGTTTAAGGTGGTTTTTTCCAGTTCTGTGAAGAAGGTCAGTGGTAGCTTGATGGGGATAGCATTGAATCTATAAACTACTTTGGGCAGTATGGCCATTTTCACGATATTCTTTCTATCCATGAGCGTGGAATGTTTTTCAATCCATTTGTGTCCTCTCTTATTTCCTTGAGCAGTGGTTTGTAGTTCTTGAAGTGGCCCTTTGCGTCCCTTGTTAGTTGTATTCTTAGGTATTTTAATTTCTTTGTAACAATTGTGAATGGGAGTTCACTCATGATTTGGCTGTTTTTCTGTTATTGGTATATAGGAATGCTTGTGATTTTTGCACATTGGTTTCGTATCCTGAGACTTTGCTGAAGTTGCTTATTAAGGAGATTTTGGGCTAAGATGATGGGGTCTTCTAAATATAAAATCATGTCGTCTACAAATGGAGACAGTTTGACTTCCTCTTTTCCTAATTGAATACCCCTTAATGTTTTTTTCTTGCCTGATTGCTCTGGCTAGAACTTTGAATACTATGTTGAATAGGAGTGGTGAGAGAGGGCACCCTTGTCTAGTGCCAGTTTTCAAAGGGAATGCTTCCAGTTTTTGCTCATTCAGTATGATATTGGCTGTGGGTTTGCCATAAATAGCTTTTATTATTTTGAGATATGTTTCATTGATACCTAGTTTATTGAGAGTTTTTAGCATACAGGGCTGTTGAATTTCATCAAAGACCTTCTCTGCATCTATTGAGATAATCGTGTGTTTTTTGTCTTTGGTTCATGTTTATGTGATGCATTATGTTTATAGATTTGTGTATGAACCAGCCTTGCATCCCTGGGATGAAGCTGACTTGATCGTGTTGGATAAGCTTTTTGATATGTTGTTGGATTCAGTCAGCCAGTATTTTATTGAAGATTTTCGCATCAATGTTCATCATGGATATTGGCCTGAAATTTTCTTTTTTAGTTGTATGTCTGCCAGGTTTTGGTATCAGGTTGATGTTGCTCTCATAAAATGAGTTAGGGAGGATTTTCTCGTTTTGTATTTGAAATAGTTTCAGAAGAAATGGTGCCTGCTCCTTTTTGTATGTCTGGTAGAATTTGGCTGTGAACGTGTCTGGTCCTGGACTTTTTTTGGTTGGTAGGCTATTAATTGCTGCCTCAACTTCAGACCTTGTTATTGGTCTATTCAGGGATTCAGCTTCTTCCTGGTTTAGTCTTGGGAGTGTACACGTGTTCAGGAATTTATCCATTTCTTCCACATTTACTGGTTTATGTGCATAGAGTTGTTTGTAGTAATCGCTGATGGTAGTTTGTATTTCTGTGGAATCGGTGGTAATATCCCTTTTATCACTTTTTATTGCATCTATTCGAATGCTCTCTCTCTTTTTTTTTTTATTAGTCTGGCTAGTGGTCTATTTTGTTGATCTCTTCAAAAAAACCAGCTCCTGGATTCATGGATTTTTTTTTTGAAGGGTTTTTAATGTCTCTATCTCCTTCAGTTCTGCTCTGATCTTAGTTATTTCTTGTCTTCTGCTAGCTTTTGAATTTGTTTGATCTTGCTCCATTAGTTCTTTTAATTGTGATGATAGGGTGTCAATTTTAGATCTTTTCTAACTTCTCATGTGGGCATTTAGTGCTATAAACTTCCCTCTAGACACTGCTTTAAATGTGTTCCAGAGATTCTGGCACGTTGTGTCTTCATTCTTATTGATTTCAAAGAAGATCTTTATTTCTACCTTTGTTTCATTATTTATCCAGTCATTCAGGAGCAGGTTGTTCAGCTTCCATGTAGTTGTGCGGTTTTGAGTGAGTTTCTTAATCCCATGTTCTAATCTGATTGCACTGTGGTCTGAGAGATTGGTTGTTACGATTTCTGTTCATTTGCATTTGCTGAGGAGTGATTTACTTCTAAATAGAGTAGGTGCGATGTGGTGCTGAGAAGAATATAAATCTGTGGATTTGGGGTGGAGAGTTCTGTAGATGTCTATTAGGTCTGCTTGGTCCAGATATTAGTTCAGTCCTGGATATCCTTGTTAATTTTCTGTCTCATTGATTTGTCTAATATTGACAGTGGAGTGTTAAAGTCTCCTACTATTATTGTGTGGGAGTCTAAGTCTTTTTGTAGGTCGTTAAGAACTTGCTTTATGTATCTGGGTGCTTCTGTATTG